GTTTCATCCACAAACTTACTGAGAGTAAAGTTCAGGCCAGGGAGTAAGAGGGTTGTCAATATTTTGCAAGCTGGCCCAAACCGTCAATTCTTCCTCCGCAGAAAGATGGGGCGCCCTCATTCCACTCCATAGAGTGGGCACAAAAAATCCTCCGACAATACCGATAGCAGCTACAAGTAGCCAAGTGTCCTCTAAATGTAAAAAAAGTTTTATGTCGCATATCGTGATAAAAGGCAGTTGAGAAAATATTATTTCACACAGAAAGTTAATTTAGGTACTCACACGCCCGAAGCCAGCAGTACAGCTGGCGTGGTCGAGCAAGATTCCACCAACAACAATGAGGCTCAAGCGTCTACTTGAGAAACAATGTTTTTTTCTGCTTACGGCCAGCCAGTGTAAAAGGGATACACTGCAATTTGGATATGAATGGTTGAAAACATAAAATTTTACCAAAACTCAACCTGAACCGTGCAGAAACGTTCTAATTGCATGTACTCATAGTTGTTTATCTAAATGTCATAATGGATCTTGGACCTGGCCGGTGCTCTATGCAGGAAGTCCATGAGAACCTTCATGCCCTGTGTAATGAACCCATGTCCTTTGTGATTAGCGTATATTTGTAACGAGGACATACATCAATGAAGCAGACGAAACTCTTAAAATCATACAGAATATATGTTACTTATGTTGAAAGATAGCGAGGTATGTGGAGTTATTTGTGATGCTCTTGTTGACAGGGCAAAGCTAGATGTGGGCACGTCCCCGGACCAGTAATAACAAGATAAGCTTAAGGCTAGAGGCTGTGGTTTTCGGTGCGGTCATCCAATTCCTAGCTTCCGTTCTGCCCTAATCCAACGCAATCACTCAAATTACCACTAAACTGCTTATTTGGCCAAACTGCTCTATCGGCTTAAGTAGTGCGGAACTGTCTTTGATATACCAAAAAGGCAATTCAAATCATTCCCTGTGCTTGAACAAGCCAGAAAAAGTACTGAAAGCAACTAGCAACCATACAGTTCGGTTTTCCTTCCCGACCTCAGAGCTCGCATCCCACGGAATGTACTACGTTCGAAGACTCTTACGGTTAAGTCATTAGCTTCATCTGGAGGCCTACGTGTTTACTGAAGACCACCCAACCTAGCTTGCTGGAAACTGAAGGCTTTGGTGGCTGTTCTGTGTTTACGGAATATTTGCTTCAGTAATCGAAGTAGACCCAGGATAAACATGCTGTCTATTGCTTGTGCCTAAATAAAGGGTGTCCCAACAATGTATATATATTTTACATAATTGTAAAATTAGAGTTAACTATAATTTTATCATTTTAAAAAGGTAAACATATTAACAGGCATCATTTTATTGTTTTTTTACTAAATTTACTCAAACTGACGCTCATGTTGATTATGACACTGCTGACAACGCGAAGCACTGCAATCGCACACACCATGAAACAATGGTACTCGGGTGCATTTATGTTCAATGGCTTTTGTCATTCAGCTACTGTTGAAATAGTCAAAATGCAGTGAAGAAACAATATAATGATAATTGTAAATAATTTTTTTCATTTTTGAAATAATACACTTATCATATACACAAAGTTTACAATTATGTGAAATGTGTATACATTTTTTGCAACACCCTGTATCTGATCAAAACAGACAAACAGTCGGTTCGGTTAACCGGTGGTGACGTTAAGTTGTTGATGTGGAATAGGTGGAGCCTGGGATACAGAAATTACGACGAACTTATTTGTCTCGACGACCTGTTTATTAAATCGACAGCAGGCCAGGTTTGGGCCACATCTGTCGTTTCTTGGTCTGCAAGTGATTTTGTACGCTACTAAAAGCTGAGGATCTATATTATTTTGTCCTATGCAGTCGCGTGGCGCAGAATAGTGGTGCTGGCAAAGAAAAGGAGACGGAAAATGGCTTTTTTTGGCACAGTAGCCGTCAGCAGCCAATCGTACCTATCCCCAGGTGGTGTACCATCCGCGGTTCGAATCCACGACCGGTTGATCAGACGCCAAACTCCCTAAACACAGCACTACGCGCCTCTTGTTTTGTCGGTTTATTGTGGGAAGGCTGAAGTTCATTGATAGGCGCTTACTGATTGATCCGGTGGATATGCCCGATTATAAGTCAGAAATGCCCATTCCAGTCTCTCCTGTGTTTACTGTCAAAAACTAAATGCGCACAACTGTTATTATCAAGACAAAAGTCTGCTCATGTTGTTTTGCGATTACGTAAGAAAGAAGTAAAAGATACAGAATGCTTAGCCATACGCAGAACTTCACCGAAGTCACCGCGCGACTCAAGCGCGTAGACCAACACAGTCAACACGGATATTAGCATAGTCCCGAGGGTACCATGAAGAAGCCCACCACGTGTAAGTCTTGCCCAGAATAGAGTGAGTATAAGACAACCTGACATCGGGCCTGTGATCACAGTGTGTGCAATATTCAGCCAGATCTGTAAATTCTAAAAAATAAAAGATAAAGTTCCATAAAAGGAAGAAGCCGTGAAATAGCATTGTAATCGCTTTAGAAAATGACTAAAATGCCAGGATATTAAGCAAGTGTCTACTCAGAAGTGGTTATATATAATAAAGCACACTAGTACAAGATAGTTAAGGCTATTTTTGTATGAGTCAAAATCGGCAAAGTGTGAGCTGTCGCGATAAAGCAAAGCCTAGACGGTGCTAACGGTGTAAAGGTTTACAAATTAGTAGCGGCTGCAACAATCCATACAGACCTTATATGCAAGCTTAGTGATATAATGGTTAAACCCAATCACTCCAGCTAGAATGAACTCTGTTATTAGTCATCGTACTACTTGGTAAGTGTTGCTCTGTTGTTAGTTGATTAAATTTAACGAACTTACGAATATCTAGTTCTTCATGTGACTACGATTATTTCTTTTTTGTAATTTAGCATACATCACATACATATACAGTATAGTCATAGTCTTGGAAAACATCACTTACACATGGAAAATGAAAAGAAGAAGGTGCTTGCCAGTATTAACTTTGTTTCATGTCTGACTTCACAATTACTGTCGCTGACAGTATAAGCATATAGTATTAATGCAAATATGAAAAAGAGTAAGATTAAGACGAAGGTTTAAGGCAACGTCGTTGCACGTCCTCTATGGAAAGTGGCCTCGTGCACGATGCATGTAAATTTCAAAATTAAAGGTCCGATTGCCTAAGCAGAACGAATTAATACAATCTGAAATTTTTTCAGAATTTAACATAAGATATAAAAGAGCATTTAAAGACTTCTCGCGATACTGCATAATCAATCTGCTCTCTCACATGGTAATCAACACCGATTTACTTTAACTTTAAGGAGAAAACTTATAAAATCTAGAACTGTTTTCGAAACAATTGCCTTTGATATAAAGTTCTTATCTGCTGACTCTTCGCAGCTATGGACGCAGTTATGAGAAATGTCACATTTTCCTTCTTGGACAATGAGTAGTTTCTCTCTAGCCTGTAAGGAATTATTCAAAAATATTTTTTTAAAGATTTTATTCGAAAATTTTTGTCTCCCGAAGGCCACTGTTTTCTATGCAGTTTGCCTTGCCAGTAGAAAAATCGATGGTAATAAATGTTTCTGTTGGTTCGCAGAAGGTTCAGGAAAAAAGTTTTAATCGTTAAAATTTCAGTGTATTGACGTTCTGCAGAGTGATCTCCCTGGACACTTGTTGTTCCGTTGTCTTAAGGTATCAGCCAATTTAAAAAAGTCAACCTGAATTGTAAACAGATAACTGAAAACAAATGCCCTAATTTTTCCCAAGGAAACGGTTTTCGAAGTACATGTTAGGAAAGTTGGTTGCCTATTTTCGAAAGAAACTGGAAGTGTTTTCATGTGAGGACGTTTCGCATCCGTCTCGAAGTGTTGAGCAAATAGATTTGACTCTAAGCTATTATCTGCAACGAGATAAAGTTCTGATTGGCCAAACAAGGCGGTTAATCAGAGTTTACAGAATGACAATTGACTTGTGGATCTCTAGTGAAGGATTAACGCCCAGTGTATGCACTTTTTTGTCACTGTTTGCAAATAAGCAATACCCCTCGTAGGGTGTTAACTCTATGTTGGGCACATAACTATTCCAGTGGTTTTAAAGGTGAATTAGTTATACAAATGAGGCAAAAACAGTGAAAGTAGTGCACATCATATAGCCCTACTCCCAGCATTTTGTCCTACGGAAACGGTGATTATAGGGGTTTTGGACGTGCAGAAATAGGATAGGCAGTGAAGGAAATTTGTTGAAGTAAGTAAGAGATGGAAAAATGTAGTTGAATTTGTTTCCAACGGCCGCTGTGAGTAAGTTTTTCCGCATGTAAATGGGAGGTTTACACGGTAGTTTGCGCCGCGGACTATCCGCATATAACTCCAGAATGGTTACTTCGATCTCAGGTAAGTTGCAGTAGACGACCACCAAACCATCATGTCTATTTTCTCCAGGAATTTCAAGAAACATGCATTTTGATAATCGCGTTTTCCGCATTAGGTTAAACGATAATACAGATCACGAAAATCTACGGATATAAATTAGCAAAATTTCTAATTACAATAGATATAGCAATTATTAGAATATATTCCACTGCCTACCCTAATTCTCCATCATTAACACCCTATATCCGCCGTTTGCATAGGCAAAAATGCTCGGACTAGGCGTATATGAGGAGAAATTCTTAAACAACTGTTGCCCAAATGACGTGTAGAATGTAGTGAAGAAAGTACTAAAATGCGGCCAGCACATACATTTGTAATTATTTTTCAGGCTTTTCTTAACACCTAAAGTCAACTGCTACCAACAACATAATCATTAATGATAGGAAAATTGCGCTTTCAAAAGTGGTTTAAGCATAATATAACACCAATATAATCGCGTGAATAAGGATTTAAAATTCTGTTGATATTTGCTGGCAACCAACTTGGGAACCAAACCTTCTGTTTTGGCCTTAATAAAATAGTGGTATTCACTTAAAACTCAAGTGATTTTTGACTCTCGATAATAAAAACATACGCATAGATTCAATCCTGATTAAGAGGTTACTTATAACAAAAACGTTCATTTAAATTCCGTTGTATCTAACTAATTATCTATACTACGCGAAAAAATGCATTAAAAATAATTAACTTACGCTTACTCCATCGACGAGAGATGCTATCGGCATGGAAAGGGCCAATATAAAGGCTAGCATTGCGCTCGTGCATTGGCGAATACGTTCGCGATAGCCTCTGTAGCCTCCGTGAGTTTTGCAGGTGTATGGATAGTTCCATCGGCGTTTATACATGTCCATAAATCTAGAAAAGTTGAAGTGAACCGAATGATAGATTTAAAGTTCTAGCACTACAGTAGCTACTGCAAGCGTGCAGAGCACGCTTCTTGAAAATGGATACCAAGAAGGGTGCACCCTCAAGTGTATTGGCGTACGCGCCACAAAGGCTGCTATCTTAACCGCAGAAAAGACGTGTTTGTAAGACTGCCTTTTTTAGGCGATGCAACAAGTGAGCTAGTAAGACGACGTCTGAAGACCGCGATAACAAGCGATTTCCTCGTGGTGAACGTACGCGTTTTCTTCAAGAACTCTCCCCTCCTACGATTATATAGTAAAGAGCGAATCCCGGTGAAGGCTACAACCATGTGCATCTATTCTC